TTGACATTGCTGTTCGGCAGTGCTTAGAGAGAGGGCAGGGAAAACCTCTGATTCCCAGTCCTTCAAGGGGACTGTATCTCAGGCTTTGGGCCCTCAGCCTGGAATCTGTAGGCAGACCCCCAGCCGTGTTTGAGCATTCCACAAAATCAGACCCCCTTCCTTAATTTCCTGCCTTTTGTGTGTCCTCATGCAGCATCTCCTTAGTCTGAGAGTGTGGAAAGCCCTAGACTGTGGCTGATTTCCTGGTCTCCTACGTTTGTTTGGTTTTGCCTCTGAAATTTTCTTGGTTTTGAAATACAGTTCCTCAGTGTCTGGAATTTTATCTCATTTTCTGCTGTGATAACCCAGCCCTTAGGTGCTGGACAACTTGTGAGCTTTCCCATGAGGAGTTTTACTGGGTGAACGAACATTCTGGATGGAGAACACTTGTTTACAGTTCTGATGGATATGAAGGAGTGGGCTTTGTCCAAAAACCTGTATGACCTCTGGAATTTGGTGAAAATATAATCATAGTTATTCTTCCTATATCTGTTTTGCTTGAGTTAGTACCTGCTTGATGACAAATAGCCTTTCTCATTTGAATGAATTTGGGTTTTTAAAATTGGGCATATTGGATATCTTGAGACTATGCTCTTGTTATGAAGTGTCTCTGTTCACCTCAGAAATACAAAGAAATTCATTCATTATTCGTTTTATAAGGTATTTTGGTTTTTCTGTAGTATATCCTAAATTTTCTAAATGTAACTTGTTAGGTTTCACATGAATTTTGTAGAGGTGTTTTAAAGTCAATTCAGATGCTTCATGTTAAATCATTTCTGTGTCTGTATTCACCAGGTAACTCTTGGTATGCTAAAGTAATACCTAAAATTCTAAGTTTATTTTATAGAAACATAAGCATCTTACATTTCATGTACTTTTTCATCCCTAGACTTTTGACAGAGTTTTCCACCAAATTTGTAAAATTCTGGAAAACCTTTTATTTGTAACCCATGAAGATTGTTACGTTCTAGGGTGTTCTGTAGTTCACTGGGTATTACTGTTTCTTATGGTGATCACCTCTGCACGTGCATCTTCTGGCACTGGCCAATAGACTTTCTGCCCTTAAATGCTACTGATAATGCTGTCTTAGAAGTTATTCCTTGCTCTCAGTCACATGACCCTTAAGGTTATATATATATAGTCTTCTGATAATCTCTGTGACGTCAGGATTCATTAATTTTGGGCAACTGGACATTAATTTTTTTTCATTCATGATAACTGTATGTTTATAACTACATATGGCAGTAATACCTGTCACCTCACATCTGTTTCATGTGTGAAACTATGTTGAGAGATTCAGTGATAAGATTTCAGGTAATTAGAGGAAGCCAGTCTATGTGGTATTTCCACATAGCTTCAAAATTTTTAACATATTAACATCAGAATATGTCAATTTTTTAAATCTGTTGTGAAATTAATCACATTGTTCTTTAAAAATGAAGTTTTAATCAAACTGAAATTCACATGACATAAAATTAACATTTTGAAGTGAATAGTACCATTTGTCCAAGTACCACTTCTGCCTAATTGCACAACATTCCCATCACTCCAGATTACTGTCCATTACCCATTCACCAGTTTCTCCACATCCCCATCCCCTGGAACCCACCAGGCTGTGTTTTGTCTCTGATTATCTATTTTATAGAATACCATGTTTTTTCTACTTCAGTAAAAATGGTTTTTGTCTGTATAGAATCTCCAGACCACTGTGGTCAATATTACTGTTTTTAAAAACATGAAATTTTCCAATGCATTGTATGCTGTGTCTTTTCCATTTATGTAAACATGCTTAATTTCTCTCAGCAGTGTTCTACAATTCTTACCCTTACAGGTCTTTCACACGCCTGGTTAAATTGATTTCATGGCATTTTATTCTTTGAATGGTTCATTATACATGGAATCCTCTCTATAACTTCCTTTTCAGGTTGTTCATTATAGTACATAAAGCACAACTGAGTATCCTGTAACTTTTCTGACATCACTGTAACATTAGAAGGTTGTGTGTGTTTGTGTGTTTATGTCTTTCATAAGTTCATGGAATACTCTATTTTGTAGATCTATGACGTCTTCACATGGAGATAATTTTCTTTTTGCTCTCCAATATCTGTACTTTTTTTCCTCCTTTTTCTTGTTTTATTGCTCTGGTTAGAATTTGCAGAATGTTAGATAGCATCAATGAAAATGGATATCCATGTCTTATTTCTTATCTCAGGGGGAAATCTTTACTGTTTCATCTAGGACATTAGCTGTAGGTTTTCATAAATAATCTTCAAGAGGTTGAGTAAAGTCCTTTCTCTTCTGAATATGCTGAGTGTTTTTCTCAGAGTTTTAGAATTTTTCAAATATTCTGCATACAATGAGATCATTGTATAGGTTTTTTTTTCTGTTTGTCTTACTGTTAATATATATTATTATGTTTATTGGTGTTTATATGTTGAACCTTCCACTGTTGAATTCTTAGAACAAGTTCCTCTTATTTACGATGTGTAATTTTTTTTCTTTCTTTCTTCCTTTTTTTTTTTTTTTTTTTTAAGATTTTATGTATTTATTTGATAGAGACAGAGAGCAGGAGGTGGGTGGTGTCCGGGGGGAGGGAGAGCAAAGGAAAAAGGAGAAGCAGATTCCTGGCCGAGCAGGGAGCCCAACACAGGGCTCTGTCACAGGACCTCAAGACCTCTACCCAAGCCAAAGGCAGACACTCACCCCCCTGAGCCACCTAGGTGCCTCTTTGTTGTGTAATTTTAATAATACTTTCTATTCAATTGGCTGGTGTTTCGTTGAAGACTTTTACATCTGTATTAATAAGGGGGATACTAATCTGAAGTTTTCTTGTGATGTCTTTGGGTTGGTATCGGAATAATGTTGGCCTCAGAGGCACCAAGGGGGCTCAGTCAGTTAAGGTTCCAACTCTGTTTCAGCTCAGGATCATGAGATAAGCACCCTGTCAGACTCACATTCAGTATGGAGTCTGCTTAAGATTCTCTGTGCCTCGGATGCCTGGGTAGCTCAGTCATTAAGTGTCTGCCTTCAGCTCAGGTCAAGATTCCAGGGTCCTGGGATCGAGTCCTGCATTGGATTCCCTGCTCAGCGGGGAGCCTGCTTCTCCCTCTCCCACTGCCCCCCACCTTATGTTCCCTCTCTTACTGTCTCTGTCTCTCTGTCAATTAAATAAAATCTTAAAAAAAAAAAAAAAAGGATTCTCTGTGCCTCTCCCTCTACTCTTCCCCTCTACCACTTACTCACTCTGTCTCTCTTTAAATAATCCTTGGGGTATAAATATTAAAGTTGGCCTCCGAGAGTAAATTAAGACGTGTTCTATCTTTCATTTCTTTTATTTTTTTTTTAAATTTTATTTATTTATTTGACAGAGATCACAAGTAGGCAGAGAGGCAATCAGAGAGATGGGGGAAGCAGGCTCCCCACTGAGCAGGGAGCCCGCCACGGGGCTTGATCCCGGGACCCTGAGACCACGACCTGAGCCGAAGGCAGAGAGAGGCTTAACCCACTGGGCCACCAAGGCACCTCTATATCCTTCATTTCTTTTTTTTTTTTTTTAAGATTTTATTTATTTATTTGACATACAGAGATCATAAGTAGGCAGAGAGGCAGGCAGAGAGAAGGGAGGCGGAGAAGTAAGCTCCCTGCTAAGCAGAGAGCCCGATGCGGGGCCTCGATCCCAGGACCCTGAGATCATGACCTGAGCCGAAGGCAGAGGTTTAACCCACTAGGCCACCCAGGCACCCCTATATCTTTTATTTCTTATAGTGTTGTTCTACTTACATGGAACTTCCTCACCCTTTGTTTCTCTTGGAAGCCTTAATTTCTCCCTTATTTTCAAAGGACAGTGTTCTGTGGGGATAGAGTTGATTAACAGATTTTTGTGGGGTTTTTGGTTGTTGTTGTTGTTTTCCTTTGTCAGCACTTTAAGTGTCTTATCCCATTGTCTCTGGACTTCATGATTTGGCTGAAAAGTCAGCTCTGAAAGCTGTTGTGTGTCCTATTACACATGATGCTTCTCCCTTCTTGGTGTCAACATTCCCTCTTTATATCTTTCTCTTTCATGTATTGATCATAATTTGTTGCATGTGCATCTCGGATTTTTTCTTAAATTGGATGTTCACTGAGTTCTTAGATTTGTAGAGTCTTGTCTTAACATTTAAGAAATTGTCTACCATATTTCTTCCAATATTCCTTCTGCCTCCTCTCCTTTCTTTTTGGGGCTCCCGTGGTTCATGTGTTGGCCCACATGATGTTCTCTTCCAGGACTGTTAGACTCTGTTCATTTATACTCAGTCTTTTCCTTTGTGCTCCTCAGACACGGTAATTTCCACTGACCTCCTTACCAGTTTGCTGAGTCTTACTCCATCTTATTAGACCTGATATTACCTGATATTGAAACTTTCTGTGAGATTTTTCAAGTCAGCTCTTTTCCGTTTCAGCTTTGGAATGTGGTTAGGTTCTTTTTCCACTTTCTATTTCTTTCTTGATATTCTCTGTTTATTTATACAGCATTTTCCTGATTGCTTTTCAATTCTTTGTCGGTCATTCCTTTTAGCTTAAATAGTTGATTTAAAGCATGTGTTTAGTAAGTCCAAAACTTGGGCTTCCTTAGGTTTTGTTACTTATTTAATATTTCTTTTTCTGTATGGGTCCTGTTTTATTGTTGTGTTGGCTCCTGTGTAGCTTCTTGTTAAAAATGGGACATTTTGAATATGTTGAAACTTTGGAAATCATAATATTCTCCCTTCCAAGGGTTTTGTTTTTTTTTTAAATGTCTCTTGTGATTGTTGGTACAAATTTTGTGTGGTGTATTTTCTTTGTTATGTGTAGCCATTGATGCCTTTGGTTCACTTCTCAGTCAGCTAGAGATTCAGCAGACTTCCTGAGACTGCTGGAACCAAACACAAAACATATCAGCTTTCCACCTTTGTGTGTGTGTGTATGTGTGTTGGGGAGTGCACGAAGCACATAGGGTAGACATTTAAGAGAACAGTGCCCTGTCCTTCACTTCTGCTTGCTCAGAATCTGCTGGTCAGAAGGGGTATAGTCTTGGGGTCTTCTCAGGTCTTTTTTCATGCGTCTGGTCCTGGGCATGCCTGCAACCTTCTTGGGTCCCTGGAATATGTGGGGGATTTTCAAAGCCTTATTTCCCAGTGTACCTTGCTCCCTAGTGTTTTCCATGGGGTTTTCACTTGCCCGTTGTTTGCCCCAGTTGTTATCCCTGCCCTAGGTGGCAGTGGCTACTAGACTTAACCTTTAAATGTTTGTGACAGGGCCCCTGTGCCTCAATTGTTAAGCTTCTGCCTTCGGCTCAAATCATGATCCCAGGGTCTTGGGATCCAGTCCCTCATTGGGTCCCTGCTTGGTGGGAAGCCTGCTTTCTCCCTCTTCCACTCCCCCTGCTTGTCTTCCCTCTCTCACCGTGTTTCTCTGTCAAATAAATAAGTGAAGTCTTTGAATGAATGAATGGGTGTATGTATGTATGTATGTATGTGTGGTTTTTTGTTTGTGACAAATGGCCCCTGGTTATTACCTCCACCTAGGTAGAGATCTGAGGTAGGCCAAAGAAGGGCAAGGATTTTGAGCCAGTCCTTCAGGGGGCCAGCAGACAGATTAAAGAAGCAAATAACCAGTCACAGTTCTTTGAAGATCCCATCTCTTCCTTGTGTTTGGGAAGCCTGTACCCCTTGCAGACTCCCATCTTCAAGGCCACTTCCTAACTGAGGTGCAGGGCACAGATTGAGGGCAAGTTGAAACAGCTACCTTTTTCTTGATTAAGAGTGTACCTTGTTGCTGGAATCCTGTGTTTAATTTCCAGGGTTCTTATAAAGTTCATTTGGACCATTTTTGGTAGTTCATCTCCTGCAGTATTCTCCTGGTGTTCCCTTCTTTGCCATTTTGACATCACAGTTCCCCATTGTTAATCTCTATGATATTACATATTTGTCAGATATTACATATTTGTCAGAACTGTGTTTCAAAATAGGTGATTTCAACATATTTTCCATTTATGATATCATGTACTTCTCCTGAAATTCGGCCCATTTTTCTCTTCTGGGTTCTTCTGGGTGAACTCTTTAGAATTCTGAAGTCTGTAAACATTGTGTAATTTTTATAAATGAACATACTTATTAATTACTTCTGGATTCACTTTGGGTTATTAACATGTTTATCATTTTTTATCATGATTAACACGTAATTTCTACATATATTATGGTATATAATCACGTTTCACTGATTATTACATTGCAGTATGCCTGTTTGGCGTGGTTATATTTTTGGAAATATTATTCAGGATATTTTATTGTCTTTGAATGTTATTTTAATATTATAGACAATAAGTATTAAAGAATTTGCTCTTTTTAAAAAGATTTTATTTATTTGAGAGAAAAAGAGAGTTTGCAGAGTGCGTGAGAGAGAGAGAGCGCATAGCAGAGGGAGAAGCAGGCTCTCCGCCAAGCAGGGAACCCAATTCAGGGCTTGATCCTAGGACCCTGGGAACATGACATGAGCCAAAGGCAGCCACTTAACCAAGCCACTCAGGTGCCCCCCAAGAATTGACTTTAATATTTTTTTTCAAGTATGATTCACTTCTGTCCCTCCTGTGAGGTTTTTAGGCTTTGGGGTGGCTATGGAAAATTCCTATATTTCAGGGCACTGGAACTTTTGATCACAGAGCATTTAAATAGGCTTCCCTGAAAATGATTTGAACTACATTGTAATCACTCTTTCATTACTGAGAAATCTTATGTTTTTTTGTGTTTGTAAACATTTGCACACCATGGTTGAGAAGCTTGATAACTCTGGTAATTACAGATTCTGCCTTTGGTGTAATACTTTTTTGTGTGTGATTTTATTTATTTATTTGAGAGAGAGGGAGAGGGAAAAGCAGGCCCCCCCCCAGTGAGCAGGGAGCCTGACTCAGGGCTCAATCCCAGGATGCTGGGATTATAACCTGAGTTGAAGGCAGACACCTAACCGACTGAGCTACCTGGGTGCCCGGTGTAATACTTTTCCTTATAAAATACCTGTCTTCGTACTCTAGTTAATATGAAGCCTATCACTATTTATATATTACAGATATCTCTACTAGATGTATGAACAAAGAATTACCACCAAAAGACAACATTAATAATGGAGAATTATTCCAAACGTTGATTTTGAAAAGACACGTAAGTCATGACTTTGATGACTTCGGTTTGAGGGTTCAGCAAGATGGGAACAAATTTGAGACTCAGTGGCTATGTGAAGAAAAAAATTACAAAGGAATGACTACATCCCATTATAAAAATCTCACTTGTAGAGAAGACCAACAACATCACAAATTCTGTAATGATTTCCCTGTAAAACATAGTGTTTCCGTAAGAAATAGTAAATCTCAATACTACAAACACGATACGACGAATAAGGCACTAAAAAATAAGGCAGGCTCTTCAGGAAATAAGTATAGGAACTGTTTGGACAATAGGCTTGGATTAAGCTTTCATTCACATCTGGCTGAACTGCAGAGATTTGAAACCCAAGAGGAAATTCATGAAAGTAACCAAGTTGAGAAGTCTACCAAAAAGTCCTCAGTTTCACCCCCTCCAAAAATTCCTTCTAGTGTCAAAACCAACATTTCTAACAAGTATGGGAAGGTTCTTACACATTCTTCATTACAGACGCAACATCAGAAAACACCCAAAAGAGAAAAACCTTACAAATGTAAAGAGTGTGGGAAGACTTTTAGCCATTGTTCAACCTTAGCTACTCATCAAAGAATTCATTCTGAGCAGAAACCTTACAAATGTAATGATTGTGGCAAAGTTTTTAACAGGTTCTCAAACCTCACGAGGCATCAGAGAATCCATACTGGAGAGAAACCATATAAATGTAACGTATGTGGTAAGGATTTTATGATACGTTCACACCTTTGGGGACATGAGCGAATTCATACAGGAGAGAAGCCTTACAAATGTGATGAGTGTGGAAAAGCCTTTTCTGAGTGTTCAAATCTTGTTCAACATAAAAGAATCCATTCTGGAGAGAAACCTTACAAATGTAATCAGTGTGGTAAGGAATTTATCACCCGTTCACATCTTTGGGGTCATGAGAGAACTCACACTGGAGAGAAACCTTACAAATGTAATGAGTGTGGAAAGGCCTTCTCTGGGAGTTCAAATCTTACTCAACATAAGAGAATTCATGCTGGAGAGAAACCATATAAATGTAACGTGTGTGACAAGGCCTTTAGTCAGAATTCAAGCCTTACAGTTCATCAGAGAATTCATACTGGGGAGAAACCTTACACATGTCATGAATGTGGTAAAGCCTTTAAGCAGTACTCAAGCCTGAGTAGGCACCAGAATATACACAGAATGAAGATATAGATGTAGAGCCTGTAGTAAGGCTTTTATTAAATGATCTCACATTTGGAGTCATAAGGGAATGCATATTGCAAAGAAACTTTACAAAAGAATGATATGGCCTTTGTGCCATGACTTGACCTCAGGAATCACCAAAGAGTTCATGTTGGAGAAAACCCTAGAAATTCAACTTGTGGTGAATTGCTTAAGTAAGTTGTACAATGTACTGTACTTGAGAGAATTCTTACTAGTGAGAACTAAGTCTAGTTCTTGAAGATTAATCAAATCACATATCAAACTCTGCAGGAAAATTAGAAGTCAAAGTGATTTAAAATTCCTGAGACAATGGGTATCAAAGAAGCAGGGGCGTCTATGGAAATGCCCACTTATCTTCAGTTTATACAGTCATTTTACTCATTTAGATGTTATGATGAGGTTTACTTTATTATTGAATTGGACCTATGGTAGAAAATCTGTTAATGATGTCTTCATCATAGACCTTCCATGTGTTGCCACAATGGTGTCTGTGATGGAACTTCTTGTTTTGGTCCTAATGTGAATGATGGTTTATTTTTAATTTTCAAGTCCTTTGTTCCTTGCTGGTATGTAGGAAGATAGTTAACGTTTGTACTGTGACCTTGTATCCCACAGCCTTGGTGTTATTGCACATTAGTATTTTATCTACTGTACTTCTGTGCATCGTATGAGGTGGTTTGGAAGTTCTGGTGACAGATGCCACTCTGTCTTGTTTCTGGCATCAAGACACAGGACTCTCTGTTACCATACTAATACCGATTGAATCTTGCGTCATTTAAGTCCAACTTGGTCATGGTGCAGGTTCTGGATGTATTGTGTTGGCAATCAGAGTATCCAGTTTGTTAAGGTCTCAGAAGCTTTATGCGTTACTGGTATTGGCATATAAAAGAAATCTTTGCACATAAATGGAAACTGGTCATAGCCAAAATTATAAACATACCAGTAATCTAAAACATGAGTACAAGTTATGAAAACACCGACGTGTAGATCTAGATTATTATTATTTTTTTAGATCCAGATTACTGGAAGAACATAGCCATCCAGCTTTTTCGGTATATCATAATGGTTAAATCATGTGCTTTGGTACCTCCCCAGTAAGTTTAAGTCCCCAGACTGCTGCTAAACAAGGAGTGAAGTTAGTGAAATCACTCAACCCTGTGTGCCTAAGGTCTCCTCCTTAGAATGAAAGTGGTAGTAGTCCCATCCCTGATTTTTGATGAATGAAGATTTTAAGTGCCTTGACAGCAGAGATTCTTAAATTGTGTTTTTTAGAATTCCCCATTCAACTCTCAGAAGGCTCTTAATGAAGCTAAAATTAAATATTTTTTTTTCTTAAAGATTTTATTTATTTGCAAGAGAGAAAGAGGGAGCGAGCATGAAGAGGGGGAGGAGCAGAGGGAGAGGAAGAAGCAGACTCCCTGCTGGCCAGGGAGCCTGATGTGGGGCTCAATTCTGGGACTCCAGGATCATAACCTTAGCTGAAGGCAGATGCTTAACCCACTGAACCACCCAGGCGCCCCTAAAGCAAATGTGTTTTAATGGGAAGTAAGCATAAGTGAAGAATACTAGTTTTCTTTTTTTTTTTTTTAAGATTTTATTTATTTATTTGACATACAGATCACAAGTAGGCAGAGAGGCAGGCAGAGAGAGAGAAAGGGAAGCAGGCTCCCTGCTGAGCAGAGAGCCTGATGTGGGGCTCAATCCCAGGACTCTGGGATCATGACCTGAGCGAAAGGCAGAGGCTTTAACCCACTGAGCCACCCAGGTGCCCCAAGAATACTAGTTTTCAGTTGAAATGGTAAGTGTAGGTGAAACTTGGGTTCCCATGCAGAATCCCCCAAAGGAAGAGCATCACTCATTGCGAACATCAGATGACCTCCAGATTTTTGATGGGAGGAGTCGTCTTTGTATCACAGATGCTGATTACAATCCTGGGGAGTTTCTTTCTTCTTTCTTTACTTGTATATCTTCCTTTTTCTCATATGTGAAGGTTGGGGTCTACAGATTTGAGTGTCAAGCACCCGTTTGTAGCCAACTCCTTAGTCATCATCTTCACAAGAATCTCCAGCACAGTGACAGCTTTTGGGTAGGAATATTTTCTCCCTGATCTTGGATGTAAATTTGTTTACTGGGTTACAGCGTGGTATACTGTGCTATATTATGTAAGTATCTGAGGAATCTGGATGAAGGGGTGAAGTTTATAAGGACTTTTTCATACGGTATTTGCACATTTTGTGTATCTAATTACTTCAAAATAAAAAGTAAAGAAAGGCAGCATGATATGCTGTGGCTTTTAGAAATTTCAGGTGCAGCTGTATGTTCGTACGGGAATAAAGGACATTATAGGTACATCCAAAAATCATTCTTAAAACTTGTCACCACCTTGGTAATTTTCCAGAACACTGGAAATGACGTGTGCTTCCACCCCACATAATTAGTGCGGCTTACTCTGCTTCTTAGAGCTGAATCAGAAACATGGGAGTAGAACCACAGGATTGGATGTTTCAAGTGTCTGCTTTATTATGCATTGGTGGGTTACTTTGTTCTGGAACCACCTCTAATCCTGCATGAAGTGGGCAGATGGTCAGAGGAAAGGGGAAGACAATTCCAGAAGCACCATTGAAATTCTCTTAATGTCTGAATGAAAAGCTTCCATCTTTCCCTTCAGAACAGGGTCAGAAACTCCTCATTCTGGACAAAGTTCTCAAGACACGAGAGACGAGCAGAGGTACCCGAGGAGAGGTCCTGCCTTAAGGAGGGAAGCTATCCTCACACAAGACAACCAGTTTTCTTTAGGTTTCTAATATCCTGACTGTACACGTAAGGTCTGTGAGCAGGGTCTATGCAGTCCCTGTGATTCGAAGAGAATACTATGTAGTATTGGTGAATGTCACAGTCCCTGAAATGAAATACACGCACCCAGATAATGCATTTCCTAAAGTGGCAGTGGGAAGATTATTTTGTTTTCACACGGTATGAGCTAAGAATAGAAGTTGAAGAGTGGGTTCTGGCGTCGTGTGAGGATTATTACTTGGGTTTGGTGGCGGAACTTCTGGGTCCTGACTTAGGAGAAGTTTGACCTTTGCCAGTCTCAGATTGCTCCTTTGGGGTGGCGCCTTCCATGCAAGGCTCGGTTGCACATCGTGTGGGACCTTTCTGTGAAATGTGGTTGAGGGAGGGCATTGCGCATGCACGTGCCTTTCTATCCTAGTCACAGATCATGCGATTTGGTATCCTAATTCCAGTGCTTCTCAGTTTCATCTTGTGAGCATACCACCCCAAAAGCTATTCTCAGCCTCCTGCATCATCGCTCTGCATTCTGCCTTCACCTTGGTAACCTTGTCTCCTGTTGTCGTAACCTGGAGGGTTTGCCTGAAGAGAAAAGTGAGGTAACATGGCACCTGCTGTTTCTTAGACACAGCTGATTAATCTCTTTTTTCCTGTATCACTTTTCCTCACATGACTGATGCAGTCCCAGGACAGCAGTAGAGCCTAGTGTTGCCATGGGAGACAGAATTCATAGGAAATGTAAGAAGAAAGCAAGCTTTAGGATAGAGAATAAAAGGATTTTTTGAACAGATGAGGGCCTCCCAAACATGACAGCCTTCTGTCAGCCAAACAGAAGACCCACAATGGTACAATGCAGTGGTAGTTATAAAACAGGTTTGGTGTACCTGGCTGGCTCGATAGAGCACGTGAGTCTTGATCTTGGGGTTGTGAGTTTGAGCCCCATGTTGACTGTAGAGTTTACTTATATATAAAAAAGAAACTTTAAAAAAGAAAATTCTAGGCTTGGTCAACAGCCTGATTATAGTCCATTTCTTCAGTGAACAGGCGTTCTCCCACCGTGGCTCCTGAATGAATGAATGCAGATAATTATGTCAGTGCCAGTGATTTGTTTCTGTGTATTGCTCAAAGATTAGTGCCCTTAATCTCAGTCTGTAGTTTTTCAAGTGGTAGGTCAGATAACTCCAACATGGGCAGTAGCCCAAGATCCTGGATTCTGACCACTGATTAAAACAACCATATCCACTCTCATTTCTGCATGTCCAACAGAGAGGCTAAACATCCAGCCCAGCGAGTCCATGAGGTTTCAGCTTTCGTGGGCCGTCAGTGGACCAGTGTCAGACAATGAGGGGAACCTGGGATCACTGAGGTCCTCATGGTGCCAGGAGCTCTGCATCAGGCTATAGATATGACCCATTCCTGTAGAGCTGAGATGTTGTAGATGTCAGTCAGGATTCATTCTTGAGTATACTTTCTCTGTTTGACCAGCAAGTCTTTCAGGACCTCTCTGCCTTGTTGGTTGTAGGGTTCAAGTTGCCTCATCAACATGGGAATGTTACACCAGATAGTCACAAGTCCTGAATGGGTCATGCTTCACTTTTGACAAATGTTCAGTAGTAAGCTGGTGGCTGCTTTCCAAAAGCAATTTATCTGTGTTATGTGAAACCTGAGTCCAGGGGTGCCCTGGTGGCTCAGTCAATTAAGCATCTGCCTTTGGCTCAGGTCATGAGCTCAGGGTCCTGGGATCAAGCCCCACATTGCATTGGACTCCCTGCTCAGCAGGAGTCTGCTTCTCCCTCTCCCTTTGCTTCTCCCTGCCCTCTGCTTGTGCTTTGTCTTTCTTTCTCTCTCTCAAATAAATCTTTAAAAACAAACCCGAGTCGAAACCCCAAGGGAGTCTTCCAGGGGAGACTTCCAGCCTTTGTCAGAGACTCCAAATGGCGGAATCTGACACAGTTTTGCATTTTCTCTGACATTCCAGAAGTCTATTACGTCTTTACTGCTAGAATGAACATTGCACATTGCCTACATAATTCCAATAAACTGTAATTAGAAAAGGATTTTGAATTTGTCACATTTTATCAGCCTTACCTACTGGCAGAGAAGGAATGTCCTATACAGGGCTATTGAGACTAATGTCTCTAAATTTCCAACAAACAATTCACCCACTCAGTGAAACCCTCACAGCAGAGGGTTGAGACAAATGTGCTATATTCTCACCCACACACTGATGCAAATGCCTGGGGAGTTTTCTTCACTAACACTCTTCTACCTTGAGCCCACCGTGAAGAATGTACATAAATAAGGACTCTCATACAAATGGTGATGGTTGTGAGAATTGGTAAAATATTTTGAAAAGTATTGGAAGTATGAATGAAAGCTGAACAGATGTAAGCCTATGACCATGAAATTTACCATTCGATATGTAACCAACAGAAATTTGTGCATGTGTCACCAAAGCACAAATTCTAGCATTTACATAGCAGAGCTATTCATAATAGCCCCAAACTGAGAAACACCCACATATGCATCAGGAGTGAAAGGTCAAAGTAATTGTTAGATAATTTACACAAAGTCTATTAAATGTTGAGTCCACACAATGGAACTAATGTTAGTAAATGACCTATAACATACGTTAATGAGTTCATGA